TGCAAACTGGGGGCAAATGGGTGCTTTCTTTTGACTCCTCTGTGGTGAATCAGGGAAGATACAGTACAGAGGTGAAAACTGGGATCGTTTTAGCGAGGTATGTTGGAAGGAGATGATGTCCTGGTCAAAATAATGAGGTGTGTGTCTAGTTCAGAAGGAATTAGTTTGTGAGAGGCACTTGAATAGGCTTAAAATATAAAAGGTTATGAGGCAATTGTTTTTCTCCGTATTCACCGAGTGTTGAACAAGAAATAATTGACTTGATTATTTGCAAGGTTGATTTTTTTTTTTTTTTTTAAATTGTCTTAGTGCAGATGTAAACTCTCTAACCATGGGGATGAGCTGCTGAGAGCATTGTGTAACCTTGCAATTAGAGGTGCCAAATAACAGGCTGGAAAAACACCTGTTCAAAACTCAACGCAGATAAACCTGAACCTGTTTGAGAGCCCAGGGATGGGTGCCCTGACCTCTCCCGATCCTTTCCAGCTTTGTCGCCGTGGTTTTCCACAAAGCCTCCTCTTTTGTGGTGGGGAACTTATTAGAACGGAGGCTGTTTTATTTATTCACGTAGCCTTTAATCCCTGGGTTGATGGAAGGCAAGTACAGCCCTGGCAGGAGCCTTTTGGTTGTTCTCAGTTATCACTGAGCAGGTAACACCTGTGGGGGGGCTGCAGGTGGAAGGAGAGGCCCCCACAGTTCCAGGCACCGTTTTGTTGGGCCCGGCTCTTGGAAACACAAATGTGAGAGCCTGAGGAGGGTGATCTGAGGAACTGCTGGCACAGCCTTGCTTTTTGCTCCTGGTGGAGAGCACAGTTGGCTGTTCCCCACATAATGAAAATCTGCATCCCTCTGTTTGTAGTTTAATGCCCTGCTCACAGCCCTCAGAAGCCTGAGGGGAAGCTGACTTTTAACTTGTCACATATTGTCCCTTACTGATTTACAAAGGTATGGTGAGCTACCATAAAGCAAAAACTATGATTAAAAAAGGAGGAAACCAGCCTTGTGCATGTTTTAGGTTGAGGGTTTTTGTTGGTTTGGGGGTTGTTTGTTTGTTTTTTTTCTCCCCCATGTATTATTTTTTCCCCCCAAAACTCTTTGTGCCCATAACATCAGTTCTGGAAGCTTCACTCACCACTTAAAATGGTGGTACAGGATATTTCTAAAAAAGTGGGGTAGAGAATGCACTGAAATTGGTCTAGTCTGCTTCTAAAATCCTTTTGTGGAGACTATGTGGGGTTTTTTGTGTTTGTTTTGTGTTTTTGTTTGTTTGTTTTTTGTTTGTTTGTTCAATTTTTTTACCTGTAAAAATTGTTTAAGCTTCAACCCAAATGAATTGAGAATGTGCATATCATATCATTATAATAAAAAAGAAGATTTTTACAGAGTTTATCCACTCCACAAACTTTTCCTTTACTGCCTTTTTTGTAATGCCAGTGATATATCAAGAATGATTGATTAATTGTGCTTGATATAGGAAAAACAGACTTTAAGACTTCATGTGTTTTCCAGCTTGATTAGTTTTTTTATTCTGTGACTGAAATCTTGTTCTTAATGCAGAATGTCATCAGTTGCAGGGGAAACCCTCCCAAATGTTTTGATTTATAAATATGAAACAAAACATTTTTTTTATTCAAAGTGGTGAGTTTTGTTTGCTCATTGGAAAATTTCTCTGAGGCTTTTCAGTTTCTGCAAAAATAAGTTGTAAGGTACAGCTTTTACAACAAATCATTATTTATGCTGGGAAAAGTTTCATCCCAAGTCCTCTGACCATTACTAATGAAAGAAACAAACAACCTCACAGTCTGTGTTTGCTCTTGTTTGTAGACAAATTCTACCATGTTTTAACCTCACTCCCATCTTTCAGCCAAAACACTTGGCAAAAGGCCCCCGCTGCTTTTGGAACTGCATTGTGGAGTGGGATCAGCATCTCCATAGGCAGTTCTCCACCAGTACAACACGAGCATGATTTTAAATAGTCTGTTTTATTACTGCTTGTATTTGCAGCCCAACTGACATAATTAGAGATGATCTGTGTAATTTAGACTACCAATTTTACCTCAGCCTTGGCCCTCCTTGCCTCTGTGTGCTGGAAAGCTCCTGTGAGGGAGGCTGGTCAGTCCTAGAGGAAAGAAGAAATCCAAGTAGTTCACTGTCAGGAAGTTAATTTAATGTGAGATCCTTATACAGTTGCTTCATCTACGTGGTTTTTCTCCCCTCTCCCCCCAGCCATCCTTCTCCCAAGCTTTTCCAGTCCTCAGGGCCTGGCTGCAGGTGTTCTCTGTCCTCTCCTAAGATCAGCTGGGATCAGTGAGCTCTGTAGCATTTCCCCCCAATTTAATATTGCCATTTTTTCCCCTCCCCAAAGCTGTATCAGCGGATCTTTGGTACAGCAAATAATTCCCCCTTCCCAGTTGTTTATCCCTTAGCCTGGTGCATGTTTGGCTGTGATAGGGAGCACTGTTACATCTGTACATGTTAATGTGCCCGTGCCGAGCTGTGCCCCTGGGTGGCCTTGTCATACACAATCAGTGTCAGCCTTCCTTGTGCTTAGTGTTTGGGTTTAAATAATCGTATTTTTTTTACTTCTTGGAGACAGTTCTTTTCAGCAGACCACGGAATGTCAAGTGGACATTATCATTAGTTTGGCCCCAGTCCTGGGGCAAATTAAATGTTTGACTATTTACTGAAAAAATCCCTTTCCTTTGGGTGAGAAGATAAATTCTACTTTTTTTTCTTTTTTTTTTTTTTTTTTACTCTTAGAGGTTTCTTGCACATTGCAGTGGTGGTGACTGAAAAAATAAATAAAGCACTTTATTAGTTCATGTTTACAATATATGAATGTCGTTTGGATATAAACTACCCAGAATTCTTTGCCTTGGAGGCAGTTGAAAGTCTCGGGGAATTTCTCATAGACCCACAATTCAGGGAGGAAGGGAGATAAAAGGGAACAGTTGCTCTCATAATATTTGGCTCTATCCGTGTCTTTTCTTTGTTGAAAGATGGAAAAGGCAAATGAAAGTTAAGGCATTATTTATAAAGTGCAGAGTCTCCATGAACCAGGAGTTATGAATTTAGCTTAAGCAACAGGTGAGGGTTCAGCTAATTCTCATTTTATTGACACTGATTTGCACATCTTGACCTGTTTTCTAGAGCAGAAATGTTCTAGATGTGTAATTTCTGCTGTGATTTGTGGATTTTGGAGTTGCTCACAGCAATCATTGTCCCTAGATTTGAGTAGGAGAGTCTTGTTTTATTTGTAGAGCAAAAAAATTTAAATGAAAAAATGAGGTTTTGTTATTTTAAGATTTCTGGCTTTTTTTCTTATCTGAGTTTGTCCTAGTCTCAAGAATGTTCTATAGGCAGTTGTTTGTCCTAGAAACTATCATGGTTGCTAAATATATGGAATTAAAAAAAAAAAAGAAAAAAAGAAAATCAAGGTTGTGCTGAAATGAATGTAGTTAAAATTCAGAAAGAGAGATTCCTTAATTAACTTAATAAAATTACTAATGGAAGCATTTTAACTGCTAAATTTAATTTACTTGTCAAGATATCAGGCTACAAAGAGGAGGGAAGAGTGGAAACTCTGCTTTCCATTATGATGTGCTCTATTATAGAATAAATTTGCTTAAAATGAAATATATCACAAAAAGCCATCAATGACATCTTAATTTGGAACAGCCAGTTGAAAAGTAATTAGACTGTGAAGCAATCAGTTCTAGTAAATCAGTGTTTCCCTTTACATAAACATACGTTTTTACTATTTATAAATAGGAGAGACTTCCAGAGACTCAAGTAGCAAAGACTTTGATTGTGTTTCTGCTGTCTGTGTGTTCTATTTTACATCACAAAACTGTCAAAACACAGAGAATGGGGGCTCGGGTTGGAGCTGATCCAGCAGAACGTTTCAGCTGAGCTTTGGTTTGAACTGTTCCCTCTCAGGACGGGGCTCTGTGGGGCCTCCTCCTTCCACGGGCAGAGGTTCATCTGTGGTGGCTGAAACTGAGGTGGGAAATGTGGGAAAGGGATCGTGGATCTGGTGGGTGTGGATGCTTGGAGTGGTCCCTTCATCACATCTGTTGGATTCCTGGAACAGCTCAATAATGACTGGTGGTTGTAGAGCAGATTCCTTGCAAAATTAAATTAAAAAATTAGGAGGAAAAAATAAAGACAAACTTTCACTTTAAAAGATTCAAGTGTTACAAACTCCTTCTTGCATTTACTGCTTTTAAGTCCCTGTATTTGGATTCCCGTGGCCACAGTGGCTCCTGTATCCCAGTGATGGGTGTTTCTCTGGGGAAAGGCAGGTTGTGCCTGGAGCTTAAGGTTTGTGCTGGAGGATCTGATAAATACCAGGAACTTCACTCCCCAAAGGATCTTTGTGGATGTAAACGTGGAGCTTTACCTGTTATTTTACTTTCTGAAGCCTGATGTTTGTGGCAGTGGGGGAAGGTGGAATTCTGCTGCTTCCTCAGAATCAGGGAAACGTTGGAGATAAGGATGGAAACTTATATGCTGTAATTCTTTCCAAGAAATTACTAATTTTTAAGCCATAAAACGGAGGGGATTACTTCTTTCATGACACAGGAGTTGTGGCACAGATCAGAACTCGTTGCTTTGAACTATTTTGGTATTTTGGTGTTTTTCACGGGCTGCACAGCTGTGCTGGAGCTGTGGCCAAGGTGCCAACCAGAGCTCCTCGCTGAGGCAGGAGAACAGCTGCTTCCACTTGGATTAGTGGTTGGGAACAGGGGCCTGTAAATGTTAGAAGTGCTCATTGCAGCCAAAGCCGTGGGGGGCAGTGCCAAGTGAATTAGATCAGCATTAAATGATTTCAGTGAGTGTGCTGAGAAGGAATACCCGGAGAACTCCAGCAACACAGGCAGCTCGCTGGAAAGTGACACCTGTAGTGAAAACTTAATTCATCAAAGTCCTTTTAGCCGTGAGTTAGTTTCTTGCTGCCGGGCAGTGCACGAGTTGAAAGTTTATTTTGTTTTTCACAGGTCAGGTGCAGTTTGCCTGAGAAATCATAACTACCATACGTGGGTGCAGCAAAGTGGAAGCTCTCAAAGCCCAAGCTCGTTGTCCAGAGAATACAGCTGTAAAGGTAAGTGTGATAGTTGGAACACAACTGCTTTCAGTAAATATTCTGTTTGTAAGGCAGCGTTTTTGCAAGCAGCAAGTTTGTTAATAATTCTGATTTCTCGATTTGCTTTTAAGTGAATGTATTTTTACTGTTAATTCCAGGAATTTAAGATGTTTTTAGCTGAGGACATGAGAGCTGAAATGCAGCATGTTCTGTGAATTGTGATTGTGGACTTTCTTTTGGGAACTTTTATCAGTGAATGTACTTTGGCTTTTATGCCAGTGGGAAAGAACTCTGTGAATCGCTGTTCATCTGATAGATAAACACCTGGTGGTAGGGCAAAATTCTTTTGCCTTTGTTTTGATCACAAAGCCCTTAGTTTTGGTATTACAGGTCACAAAAATCAAGTTGTTCCTTTAGTTCCAGAACGAGAAGATTCCTCAGTTGGTTTCATGAAGCAGCTGAGATGCACAGTGGCATCTGCAGCAAGTTTCATATTTTGGGGGCAAAAGTGAGGAGTTGATCCAAGATCAACTTGGAAAGGATGTGCAGGCAGGCACCTAATTATTGTCTGCTAAAGGGCTGTATTCTTCAGGTTCTTTGTCATGTGAAGTGTGAATTATTTATTTATCCATCTTCAAAGGTAAATCAGTGACCGTTCAATACAGAATGTGCCGTTTCTGGCTTGCGCTTTCATTGGGAGTTCTCACCTCCTTTTTTACTTAATAAACTTGCAGTGTATGATTTTCTTTGTCTTCCTGATGCTGTAGGAGGGCCAAAGGCAGTTGAAAGTGTCGTTGTTACCAGTGTGTCTGTTGTCTTGCTTCTCTTCCCCTGCTGCCTTTCATTCTCACACAAAGTAATAAGCAGAGAAGAATAAACACAAGAAAACCAAGTTACATTTTGATGTGAGCACAGTGTGCCTTGTGACCATGACTTGTGTACCAGAGAGCTTCAGTTTCCTGTTGACTTGGTGGCGTGATATTTAACATTCTCTTTCATAAGTTTGTTGTTTACAGCAATTTTGCGTTTCTGCTTAGCCTAATGATTACAAGAGAGTCCACCCGGGAGAGTTCAGCCTCCAGCCTTTGAAGGCCTCATTTGAACGTGCTTGCAACTGTAAGGAATGGCTTGAGGCTGTGCTATTTAACACAAAAGAGGAAAAACCCAACAACAACAAAAACCCTCTTCTTATTTTTGTTTGTCCGTATTCTGGATTCTTAATGGCTCTCAAAATATAGGTCAAAGATATGTGCATATGTAGTAAATAAAGGCTGGGGCTGCTGCACTTGTTACTCGAGGGGATGAGGCCCTTTCTCTGAAGACACTGTATGTTTAACTCATCCCCCAGCCCTTCCTACCGCTGCTGTTCTTGCTCCTGCTTGTTTTTGTTTGGTATTTTGGCTTGTACACACCAACTCTCCTTCCACTCCAGCTTCTTCTTACCCCCTTCCGAAGGGGAGGGAGGATGTGCAGCAGCAGCAGCTTTTGCACCCGCCTCAGGTAGTTTCCCTCAGTAATTTACATTCCATGGTGCGCTTGGTGTTTCTGGATTCTTCCTTCCCATTGAGTAGTTTATTACTTGGAAGGAAAATTCCATGTATTGGCAGGAGATACAAAATCAGCTCCTGGGGTGGCAGCCCAGCCCGGTCTGTCTGTGTCCCACTGTTATCAGCCCTGTGTGCTGGGTGTCTAATGACTTTCACTTCATATTTACAAGGGCTATTTTCACGAGCTGTAAGTTAACCTCTGTGATTTATATCCTGGTATCTGTTTATTTAGTTACACTTTTGTCTGAGTTTTGTGGTATCACCGAGGGTTTAACGGAGAAGATCCTCATTGGGGCTCTCTGTAGTTTGCATATGGTCGTCCCTTGCTGAAGCACTGATTTTTTGACACACACTATCACAGATGCATTAAGCCAAAATTTTTCAGACAATCACAGCAGTTCAGAAATATTATCATTTAGTGTTGATTTTGTTGTTGTTATTATTTCCTTCCCACCCACCCCTCATTCCTTGGTTATCTTTAGCATAGGAATGCACAGGTTACAGGCTTTATTAATTTGGATATAGTGCAAGAGCAGGCCAAGGGGAAGCAGCTGCAAGGCAACTTTTAAATGTAAATTATAACTTGGTACATGAACTTCATGGCATAAATCTCATAGCTCTTAATAGGTTTGGGACACTAAAATATTGTGCAGGACACAGTGCATGTTGGGTGGTCTCATTTCCCATTGATCTGGATGTAAATATCTTCCTGATTGGAGCTGGTTCCCCAGCACCTTAATGAGGGGAAAACTGCCAGAGAACCACAGTCCTTGGTGCTGCAGTTTCAGGTTTTCAGGGTGAGCTGAGTTTGTAGGGTACAAGGTCCAAACTGAATGTGCATCTGTTCAAGGGTTAAAACTAATGGATTTTTCTAGAAATCCCTGCCTTTTGAAAGGGGATAAACCTTCAGGGTCTCTCTCCTCATGTACTGAATCATGTCCTTACCTTTTGGACATAATTTAAACCTTTTTTTTATTTCCCTCACCGGTTTGAATACTTAGAATAGTTTTTAATTTATCCACAAAAGGAGTTACATAAATAGATTTTTGAAATATAATCCATGTTGAAATTTTATAGCTAAATATAGTTATTATCTCATGTGGTGCACTTTGCAGCACGTTCCTAACTAGCTGATTACATCATTGGCTGCTGACCTTACCTCTGCTGTCTAGGAAGGGGAAAGCGAAATTAAAAAGGGAGATGAGGTACCACAGGAAGGGAAGCTGGGGAAAAGTACACTTATTAAACTGCACCTATGCAGCATCTGAGCTTCAGGCAGCTCCCAGTGTGGTGGGTTCCACTGCTGTCACACAGTGGTCCCACTGACAACCAGCTGGAGCAGCTGCTTGGGGCACAAGTCAGAGTGAGTGTGGCAGAGAACAGACCCTAAAAAGAAATCTTCAAGGCAAGCAGGTGTTGTCAACCACTCTCTCTCTTTTTTTTTTTTTCTTCTTTCTTTTTAAGCACTTGTTGTTCTTAAGAAAATGAAAAGGATTTGCTGCTTTTTCCACTTTGCTCCTTGTCCTTAACGTATGAAGTAGCTCTCAGAGCGGCCGCCTTCGTGTGTCTGTGGTACCCAGGACAGCGCTGATGATAATGGCAATAATACTTATCACTTAAATGACATTTTGCAAATTCAAAGTGTTGTGCAACAAACATTAATTAGCTCTCACAAGAGCCTTGCTGTGAAGTAGGTAAGTGCTGTTATTCTCCAGTGGCACATGGGGGGAATCGAAAGCAAAGAGGTAAATCCTTCAGGGACTCCCAAGGCTCGGGCAGGGATTGAAGCTGGGAAGTTTGTGCTTCCCAGCTCGTTTCACAGAGCGCACTGGTTGTATCTTAGTTTACAGATGTGCTCCTAGATCCATAAAAAAGTAATTTAGTACCCCAGTTCTATCATGGTTGCACCTTCAGGAGGAGCTGACAGGGCTGTGCCAGTGATTGACAGAGAAACTGCTCGAGTGCCCCAGTCACAAACCCAGGCTGTACTGTCAGAGCATTCTTGGGTACTTTTCCTTGAATGCACCAGAGGTGTGGTGGGCAGAACAATGCAGGGAGAAAGCTGAGGTGTCAGTGTGATGGAATTATCCACACACAGGGCAAATGGGACTATCTTATTGTGCAGAGATATTATCCTAGAACTTCAGAGCTGTTTATCAGCAATGGCTGCTGATACCATGGGAAAGAGGAGCAAAATCACACATCACAGGATGGCTGGGGTTGGAAGGGATCATCTCGTTCCAACCCCCTCCCATGGGCAGGGACACCTTGCACTATCCCAGGTTGCTCCAAGCTCTGTCCAGCCTGGCCTTGGACACTTCCAGGGCTGGGGCAGCCTCAGCTTCCCTGGGCAACCTGTGCCAGGGCCTTACTGGGTGCTCTTTGAGGTCCCTTCCAACCCAAGCCATTTTGTGATATATCCCAGATCATTTTTTCCAGGACACTGGCTATATCTGCACTGAAAATGTCAGGGATCAGCACAGTGGAGCCAAACTGATTGACACTGCTTTGAATGTCCCTCTGGCTTTCCCAGGATCTGTGCAATTACTCCTCAGTTTTTGTGCTATGGGTATTGGCAGCTGCTTTGACTGAAGGCTGAAAATAGCAGATACTCACAGGTGTTTTAAAGTTTGATACCTTGGAAATATATAGTAAATTAATTATCTCTGAATTCCATACCTTTTTTTCACTTTCCATCCGTTCTCAGTTAACTGTTTCTGCAGAGGCAGAAGAGGAACCTCAGAGCTGTAGGCAGCTTCCTTGGATAGAAGGGCTATTTGAAATCATTTTAGGGACAAGGGGATGAATTAAAGCTTTGTGTGTGTCTGTGTACAGAACAGTAGGAGGTTTCCCACTGGACTAAGACAGTTTTAAGGCAAAGTGCATTTTTTGCATAAGCATCTTCTCCTTTTCACTACATTCCATGATGTAGCAGCTTTAGGACTCTGCCCACCGTGAGGTCAGTTGTAGGGATATTTGTCTGTGTTTTTATGAGTAGCCAGAGGAAACATGATTAAAATTCAGAAAGCTCTGAAGAAGAGTCACTTCTGTGTGTGTGAAGTCAGTAACTGCAACAAAATTACAGCACGTTGTCCGGTAATTGTTGGACTCACAGTATCGTAACTACAAAGGTGCCTGTGCAACCCATTTGATTAAGAGGAGCAAAAAAGCTCAAACAAAGCAAAATACCTTCAAAAAACTAGGCAGAATCTGTATTCTGAATATACTTCAGTGAGTCTGAATACTGCAACACATATGACAAATAAAAATCATGCTGTGTTTGGAGACCTCTACAACCTCAAATCATTGCTCACAATTTATTTGCGTTTCTTCTTGTAAATCAAAACTTTATTGTTTGAATATATTTATGGCATTCAATTTCCTCCTTTTTTTTTTTTTTTTTAGTGGGGCTACAGGAAAAAAGGGAACAATCACCTTTGCCTTCACCTTTCTCTTCATTTTAGTGTGTGC